CTGTTAAGGTGGACTGGGCACGGTTGTTTGTGCATATAGTCCCAGGATTTTGGGAGGCAGAGGTGGGTGGATCACTTGAAGTCAGGAGTTCGAGACCAGCCTGGCCAACATGATGATACCCCATCTCTACTAAAAATACAAAAGTTAGCTGGGGGTGGTGGGCACCTGTAATCCCAGCTACTCAGGAGGCTGAAGCAGGAGAATCACTTGAACCTGGGAGAAGGAGGTTGCAGTGAGCCGAGATTGCGCCACTCCAGCCTGGGCAACAGAGCGAGAGTCCATCTGAAAAAAAAAATATGTTAAGGTGGCCCATCATGGGCAGAACCTAAAAAAGAAATGTGACTTCCTGTTCTAGTTGAAAGTGTCCCTGACTGTGGCCTTCGGGGCTGCTTTGTCCTCCCTCTCTTCCTCTGTCTCTTTGCTTAGGGATGGCCTTATTTCCCCATGGAAGTGCAGACTTCATGTTTGATGTGTGTTGTCGGGGTCAGTCTGTAGACTGATTGCTAACCTCTTTCCAGATCATCTCTTTGGCTCAGGAGATCTTTGGCCCTGCTTTGTTTTCCTGAACTAGAGCAAACCTACATTTTAGAATGGGCGTCTTCAAAGGCCAGTCAGCAGATAAGCCAGGAAGGACCTTTGACTGCAGGCCAACCGTAGAGTGACCTCGACGTAGGGCACCACAGATCGTCAGAACTGGAAGGATTCATGGGGGTCATTTCATCTGGCCGGGGCCCAGAAGACTAGGAGATGTGCCTGCAGTCCCTCAAGGTCAAATGGCAAATTGCTGGCTGGAATGAGATGAAGCTGGTGGTAGATGCTAGTTTTCCTGGGCTTACCTGGAATGCAATTTTTGCATATTTGAAATCTGGCCATTTCATGTTAAGTTAAATATGTTTAGTAAATGTGAAAAGAGAAACCAGAAAATAACGGTTCCTGTCAGCTTGGGGAAGTGTATCCTTCTGTGACCTCACCAACACTTACCCTAAAGAGGCCTATTAAAAGCTCCTTTGGACTTCCCCCGCCTCCCCGGAAGGAGTAAATATCTCCTTGGCGTTGAGCAAATAGAGTTGGTATTTAGCAGCTGCTTGAGCTGATGTTTCTGAGGCAAATGAGTCTCTTACGGAGAGTTGGTCAGCTCTCTGTGAGAGGCCTGAAAGTCAGAGGGCAACTTGCTGTGTGTCTCTCGCAAGTCACTTTCGTTCTCTGGGCTGCAGTTCCTCCATCGGGGCAGGTGAAGGATTTGGACTACCGGGTAGGTCAAGCCTTGCTGCCTCGGCACCTCCACAGTTGTAAAAAATAATCTGCATTTTTGTTTTTGAGTCGGAGTTTCACTCCATTGCCCATGCTGGAGTGCAGTGGCACGATCTCGGCTCACTGCGACCTCCACCTCCCAGGTTCAAGCAATTCTACTGGCTCAGCCTCCTAAGTAGCTAGGACTACAGGCATCCGCTACCATGCCCGACTAATTTTTGTATTTTTAGTAGAGATGGAGTTTCACCATGTTGGCCAGGCTGGTCTTGAACTCCCGACCTCAGGTGATCTGCCTGCCTTGGCCTCCCAAAGTGCTGGGATTACAGGCCTGATCCACTGCGGCCGGCCATAATCTGCATTTTTAGTAAACATCCCAAGTGGTTCTCAATTCCAGCTGCTGCAAGAATCACTAGTATGCTTGTTTTTATTTTATTTGTTATTTATTTTTTGTTTGAGATGGGGTCTCACTCTGTCACTCAGGCTGCAATACAGTGGCCCAATCTGGGCTCACTGCAAGCTCCACCTCGAAGGGTCAAGCAATCCTCCTACCTCAGCCTCCCGAGTAGCTGGGACCACAGGTATGCGCCACAATGCCCAGCACATTTTCTGTACTTTTGTAGACATGGGGTTTCGCCATGTTCCCCGGGCTGGTCTCAAACTCCTGGGCTCAAGCAATCTGTCTGGGTCAGCCTCCCAAAGTGTTAGGATTACAGGTGTGAGCCACTGTATCTGGCAGGATGCTTATTTTAAAATGCAGATTTTAAATGCAGGTTTTCCATGATTTCTCCTGGCCTGATAGCG